CTCTGATACCCATCTTTCCACGGCCCATGAAGAGCCGAGAACTTGGGTGTGGCGGCTGGTGAACGAGCATCGAGTGAGATATGGCGCCACTTCTGGGATAGCAAATCGTCGTTCTGTCGAAAGATTCCAAATCACTTTTGCGAACTCCTCGTGTATTCTTCCCTGTCTCCACGTCGTCGTCTATCAATGAAGCTCAGTGGCTGTGAGGTGCTCATCACCTTGTCTTGCCCTACCAAGGTCGTCAGGACTCAGGTGTTAGTGTCCGCCGTACAATTTCTGCAGACTCGATGGTAGCAGAAAGTGTCTGGACTCTTCTTCATTTTGTGTCGACACCAGCGCAGTGTGTTACTTCCTCTGCTGCATTGACAACAGTTCCAGTAGCCGTTCAACTCTTGCAAACGGCAGCCGCCGGCACTGCAATCAGGAGAAATCAGACAGCCTCCAGTTGCACAAGGATTATCAAAATCAACATTCTGGACCGCATTGGAAGTGACTTTATCGCAGGGAGTCTGAAAATTGCCATCCGAATCTCTTCCAGCGTCTATGCAAAATTCCCAATGGAAGACATTGTCAATCGGCCTAGGGCACGGCTGAACGTGGTGGTGGTGAAGGTAGGACCAAGTGCACATGGTTGATGTTCCTAAGCTGAGCTGAAAAATTCCAAAGTTTTGGTAGTCTTCACGAGGGCTGCTGCCGTATGTTCTTCCCCGCTTAGGTAGTTGCAGGTAGTAAGGTATCGAAATGTCGACAATAGGAAGGAAAAGGGGTCCTAGACAAGATGCGGAGACCGATCTCGAGGACAGGAAATCCCGTGGTTGATCGAAATATCGCGTGACACAAAGATGCGAGCTCCGAACAGATGTTTTGTGTAAGCAGTGGGAGCCAAGAGACGGTTCGAGGAATTCCGGACTCTAGGCGAACTGGGTTGATTGTGTATGATGGAGCTGACTGTCGATCTGGGCCGACTTATGAACAGAATTTCGATAAAATTGATTATCACAAGCAGTCTGCATCTGCTAGAGAAGGTAACAGTGGGTTGTTGAGCAGGAGCAAAGTGACTCAGTGAATCGGTTTGATATTGATTGGGACGGCACCCTTGTGATGTTTGATGCCGTTGTCGCCGAGTGTTTCGACACTTCTGAGTGCAGATATGAATCCTCTTATACACCATACCATTGGAATTTTCGTAATGTCCTTGACACAGCTCACAGCTACTTCTCCCTGAACCTCGAGTATTGGGCATCTGGCCCATCTCAAAGCCCCGGCCCGTCACTACCACGCTGTTGGGACCTGGCCACCTCATTTCTCTGATGTTTGCCTCACGAACCCTAAGGGAATGGCACGATTTCTCTTCCAGGCTTCAATAATTGGCCGCCATTGTCAAACCTATGGGTCGCAATTCAGACTGTCCCTCCGGAGAATGGCGAAGCACGTGGCTTGCCCATGCTTACCGGTCTTGCAACCAGGGTTCTCTTCAATGTGAAGTTCCAATGATATCAAGCGGAATGAGACACAGAGGCACACTTTTGTAACAATGCACAACTTCGGGAAAATTGCCTTTTCGTCGCCCATATGGAGGCCACATGAGATGGGCATGGCAATCAGCCACAAAGGCGCTATTCACCCCGGCTCCCACGAGTTGCTATCCTCGTTTCCGGGCTCCTGGTTCCGGGCTCCAAGGCTGATGAGACTAGCGATAATGTTTACCCATCATCGCGATATTCGAAGGCGTTCTAGAAACCCCTTAATGTGTGTAGAGCACCTTTCTCGAAGATGATATGGGACAACACCATGTACCCCAGAGTTGCCTTGTTCCAAAGTGGATGTACAGTTTTTTCGTGTGCTCCCGGGCCTCAAGACTCAGTTCCACGAAGCTTCCCTTGTTTCCAATCATGAGAAACCGTCCGGTTCCCCCGACCAATGCCAGTGTAAGAGATTGATGACCCAATGCATCTTGTTCGCAATCACGTCGGCTTGTTGGGGGAGGAAAGAGGGGTAGGTACAGTGAGATAAAATGATGTACACAGGAGAGGGCTTGTAGGATGTGTCCGACTATTCCCTTTGGCCCTGCCTCATCGAGAGCTGCAAGATGTAGTGTAATCTTAGATTTGGGCTCGAAATCGAGATTCCAGTAGGAGTCAAGTTAATGGCGGCCGACTCCTACACATCACCGGCGTTTGGCGCGGTATATGGGGTCACACATAACTTATGCCACAGTCTTCAGCCCGAATACTGCGGCAGCTGTGTGGTCTAATTGAAGGAGCGTGCGCCAAAGGATTATATCATACCTCAGATATCACGATCTTTGACTTTATTGGAATCTTCCTGTGTGCTTGTAGCGCTATAATCGGTGGCCACGAACAGTTCCGACATCAAAGCCACCTCCAAGAGCTCTTGCAAGGAAAATGACATGTGACAGCTAACACATTCATTCAGTAAGGCGTAATCCCGAATATCTTGTCTCGCCAAAGTCTTAATATCAAACTAGGCACGATATCCAATGACAACGTTCGGCCAGCTCCGACGCAGAAGGGTAGACTACTGTAAGAGCAAACTACTGTACGACACGTTAGATCAACCACTTATAGCAAGGCCCAGCCGCTCCTGTGACTGTTTGAAATGGTGACACTGCATGATGGTCAGCAGAAAGTGCGATCAAGGTCTGTCAAGTCATGCAGGCTATAGTGGAAGATACTGATGGCTGATATGGAGGCTTTTTGGCGTACTTCACGGGTCCCGAGACACCGGAAGTCCATTCTTCAGCGACGGAGTGGCTGGAACAAGATATCAAGCTTCTCTGTCCGGCCTTCTCTCACTTGCCATATCCAAGTATGTTGGTCTTATCACCGATCAGTCGTCTTGATCGAACCCTAAGGCGTTGAAATTTCGCGTATTGTCAAACATCGGGTCGGAACACTCTTCCGAATTGGGAATTCATGCCGGAGATATATCATACGAAAGCAAATCCGCCTACCGAAACTGCAATGCGGCTGTATGTTCCCGCCGGCTACACAAGGTCGAGCATTGGCTCCTCGGTTACCAGCAGAGCTGGGAAAGCGCAAGACCTTCCCCATTGAGATGCGTCTCTATCAACTAAAATGACAGATGTAGCTGAGATAGCAATGAGATATTTCAATAGCTTCACTGCTCGGAGCTGATTCAAAGCTTACGGCCGCAGAAATCGGAGACTGCGCTTCATGGGCAATTGAAGCTGGACTTGGATGATACCAGACTCCAAATCTCCACGTAAGCCGTAACACGGACAAGTCTGAATCAAATTGAGGCAAGTTTCCAGGGTGGCACAAAAGGCCTAGATCCGAAAGACTCGAAGCTGTGCAAGTGGGAGCCCTGGATGCCCATGTCTCAGTAAACGATGTTTAGCGCCGCCATCGAGAGCCCAAGTACCTTATTCGGAAAGAAAGAAGATTCGTCACTGAACGATTCGAAATGCTGACAACCTGCACCATTCTCTTCGCAATTGTGTGCTTACCAACTGATTGGGTTTAGTCCTCATCTTACAGAGTACCTATGTGCCATCCGTTTCTCTCAATTGTATTCATAGCCTCAGCTAGCTAAGCTGGACTGAGTGCACAAGCGCTTGACGTCAAGATGATGCCTGAACATGTTGAAGGGCGTATTGTTTCTTAAAGCTCAACGCTGAAATGACTAGCGATCAATGGCAACTCTTCTAACTTTATGTGAGATCTTCAACGAAAGCCATCGCGCGTCTAACAGTTACTCATGAGGCTATCCCCAATGAATATTCCCAAGCTCTACCGCAGGTGTACCAAGTCAATTTGTTCGTTTCTCATTAGTAGAAGCTCTTGGGCGGTTGACGAAAAGCTAAAAAGATGCCAAGACATCTGAGCTTCTCGCGGTCTCACTAAGTGAGACGTAAATTGCCAGTCTTCTGTCGATGGAAGAGAACTTAGTAAGACAACTCACCGCTTCGATCGCAATCGTCTTAGTCTCGACTACATGATTGGATGCTCTTCCCGAAAAGCAGCATGGTAAACATAGAATGGCATGATCATAAACTAAGGGAGCTCCCCATGAGCCGTTTGCATTCCGGAGTTTTCACAATTAACGCCAATCACCGCGTTCCTCCCCGCATACTTCGACTGATCCAATCTGAATCCGCTAACAACAAGCGCGAGGAGCTGAAAATCTTCAGCCGCTCCACGAGAATTCGGTGGCAGTCGACCGTTCAACCCCTCACCCGCACCCGTAGTTGCCGGTGGGTGTCTTGCCGCATCTAGGCAAGTGGTGATCCACGGTTCGAACCTTGTCACGCTCGTCGACCTTGTTAGCATGGGGCTGTCTCAGTAGAAGCGGGACGCGGCCAATCACTTCTAGCCCCTTGCTTGCCGGCCCGTTCCTTGGGCTAGGCCGACGGCTGACAGCATCAAACGCGGGCTGTTGCTTCGCTCACATATCACTCTTGTTTCTCTCCACGCAAGTGTTTGGTCTTCCCAAATTCCTCTGTGGTGCTTTGAAGATATCATGTCACCCTTCCAAAGATGCAGAAGACGGGACGTATGGTAGTCAGATTACCTGAGTACCATCCAGTAACTTTTAGATCGACTATGAAACATGAATATCTGCTAGTCGTGATTCTGATTCGAGTCAAGGTCCCCGAAGTGTATCCAGCAGATAGCTTGGTGGAATTCGTGGCGGTAAACATTTTCATCAATTCACGTTCCATGTCCGGTTGCGATTTTGAGTCGCAACGCCACGCCGTTCCAGTCCATAGTCATCACGGTCTCGAATGTATCCCTCCCCAGTCATCAGAAGACTAAGGGCTGAATGATCCGCGCACTACCTAGGTATTGTGAAGGCAAAAAGCTAGGCTTGCTGATATGATAACGCACCTATACGAATCTTGCTCAAAAGTGCTCATATCCCCTTTCTCATGAACCCCACGAAGCAAAGCCTATCGAGCAGGTTCTCATCATTTATCTTGTTAGCTAGCTTTCGAGCTGCCTCGCCAAAAACCCACTATGTTGGCCCTTCGCCATGTCTGGATCATTGTAAGTGATGTTGCCAATACACTTTTCGGTTCACCCTTCTTCCGAGATGGACCTCAACACCACCTAGGAGCCAAGTTTAGCTGGTCGAACACCGACCTTGAGACCGCTGGACATGGTAGTCCCATCTTCGCGCCTCCTGGCAGCAACATTGATAAATTTGTCTGTGACTACAGCCAGATGAAGGGTTTCAAGCCATGCGGCACTGCAGAGGACCGAAGCTGTTGGCTTCGCAACTCGGATACCGGAGAAGAATACAACATCACAACCGACTATGAGGACAAGATGCCGCAAGGCATCACTCGAGTATACTACCTCAACGTTACGGATGGCTACATCAATGCGAACGGCCTGAACTTCACCGAAGCAAAGCTTTTTAACAACACTTGGCCTGGGCCTCTCATCGAAGCTTGTTGGGGTGATACTGTCGAGATCCACGTTCAGAATCTCCTCGTCAACAATGGAACCAGCATTCACTGGCATGGCATCAGACAGAATCAAACAATGCACATGGATGGTGTCAACGGAATTACACAATGTCCCATTGCTCCACAGTCCAGCTTTGTCTACCGATGGGATGCCACACAGTACGGCTCCTCGTGGTATCACAGCCACTACTCGGTTCAGTACGCCGACGGATTGCAAGCCCCCATTGTAAGTTGAGTCGTTCAATTAGTCCTACAATCTCTGCAAGGTTTGTGTGCTAATGAATTGACTTCAGACCATCCACGGACCAACATCCTTCCCGTACGACGAGGCTATTGAGCCAATCTCGGTGACTGATTGGGGTGAGTCAGGCTGAACCATTTGATGCCCGCACTGTCTGGCTCTATTGAGTTGATGCTAACTGATGGATTTTAGCGAATAATAGTGCATTCGAAAACATGTACATAAATGCAACCGGACAAGACATACTCCTGGGTGGCATCGGGAACATCACTCGATTCACTGGTGGAGGTATTGATAACACCACAGAAATTCCCCGTGGTTACGAGATCTGGTTCGATGACATCGAGCCCAACCCCTCGACGAGAGCAAAGCGGTACCTATTGCGCCTTGTTAACACTGCTTATGATTCAACGTTTATCTTCTCCATCGACAACCACAATTTCACTGTTGTTGAGGCAGACTTCGTTCCCATTGAGCCATTCAATGCAACTTCTCTCCTCATCGCCATCGGACAGAGGTATCATATTATCGTTGAGGCAAAGCCGGTTGTCGACAGTTCGAACCCCGATGCTAATCCTCTGCCGGCGGATGGCAATTTCTGGATTCGAACCCAATTGCCAATGTATGAAGGCACAAATTTGACGAAAGAAGGCAACATTGCTGTAGATGTGAACAACTACATGAAGACCGGCATCCTCCGTTACGACAGTTCCAGTACAGCAGACCCCACTACCACGGGTTGGAACATTAGCCTCGCTTTCTCAGACACGGACTTTAACAACAAACTGGTGCCGACTGTTCCTTGGACAGTTGGAATTCCGGCAAACGGCGGCGTCGGCGAACAATTCAACATCGCGGACCTACACAACGTAAGCAAAAGCGGACCATATGCGCAGGCCTTTTTCTCTTTCGAGCGACCGGAGAGCAAGGACGTGAACCCCTTCCAGACCGCGTACGGGAACCCTACGTTCCTAAACCTCGACAATGTTGGCGATGAGTGGCCAACAGGATGGGTGGTCGTGCCGGAGAATTATACCGCAAAGGACTGGGTGAGTTTGATTGCACCTACAGCACTCTTATTGAATCTATCACTAATTGGCATACTTAGGTTTATCTAGTTCTCAACTCCAACAACACCGACATAACCCACCCGACATTTGGTCCTCATCCCGTAAGTGGCGGTGACGTTAGATTTTGTCGAGAACCTTCAGACTAACTGCATTCAGATCCATCTCCACGGCCATGATTTTGCCATTGTCCAGCAGGAGGATGACAAGTTGTGGGACCCAGCAGATTTCAATCCCAACACAAGTAATCCGCCCCGCCGTGACGTGGTACTGCTTCCCAAGAGCGGCTATGCCGTCATTGCCTTCAAGTCCGATAACCCCGGCGTGTGGTTAATGCATTGCCATATTGCCGGCCATGCTTCCGCTGGCCTGTCTCTCCAGATCATGGAACGACAAGCTCAGGCTAACGTCATTTGGAGGCCCGGAAGCTCTCCGGCCCTAGATGAGGCCCATACTCTCTGTGCAAGCTGGAATACTTGGGCGTATGACTGCAAGAACTACTGGCCTGGCAACCTGGGTACCGATGAGAATCCAGACTACCCTGCCTGCGCCAATGCCACCAACCTTCAGAACGATTCTGGAGTTTAGGCGAGGACGAGCACACTGAGAGGATAACAATGATTAATTCAGTCCGATGAGACAGTTTAATGATAATGTGGGGGACGAGAGGATGGGAAGGGCAAGAAGATACGGTATAGGAGCATGCTGAAGAGTCAACAAGAGAGGAGTCTTGAGAAGAAATCGGTAAAGATAGCAACATGATTGGTGTCCAAGATTCCGGTGGCTAGCAGCCGTGGCTGATGTGGGCAAGACAAACGGTAGCGAAAGAAAGGCCATTCAACCCGTTCCACCGAAGCAAACAACTTAGATTCGCTCTTATTGTCCTCTCAGCTCTCCCGGCTGGTCGGACTCATGCAGCCGTTGAGCCAATCTTCCATCAAGTGCCAAGCTCACACATGGCCCGGCCAATGGGCACATTGCCATTGTATCTTGGTGTGGTATGCGACCCGGCGGCACGGTAGTCGCGTGGCTTATCAAACGGGCGACGACCAACGGCCAAATCTGATGGTGGCGTTCTGGGTCTGCGCTGTTGAGAACGCATGTAAGCGCTGACGCCCAGAACAGATATACGAGTGAGCGGCACTTTGTCCAAGGGACGCCGTTGAAGACAGCCTTGATTTGTCTTTTCCAGTCTGATCATCCCACGTTGCGATATCAGAGCAACGACAGTGAGGTGACAGTAAGCATGGATGAGATATGTGAGTTGGCAGTGGATGCTGTTGAGTGGGTGTCTGACTGGTCAACTCTTTTGCCTGCGACAAAGTTTCCGGGGTCGAATGCGATGAGAGTCCTTCATTACTATCTTTATAAACCCCTACAAGAGTCACGACACGAAGTCAAATTCTCGTCCGAGACTCAGCAGCACCGGTCCAATTCGCCTATGATGCCATTCACAAAGTTCGCGGAGCTCCCTCCCGAACTCCGCCTCAAGATCTGGGATGAAGCAACAGCCGGACCGTCGATACATATTTTTGACGTCTGTTTTCCGTCCTGGCGCGGTACCGATCGAAGCAGACGGGCTTTCCAATCCGCAGACGGCAAGATTTCAGAGCAGAACCACGCCAGATGGACAAAGTACAGGGAGTGTGTCTTCTTGGACGCCCTTGAAACGGGTCCGGCGGAGCTTGCGCGGCGGACGAGGATTGCGAGACACATGCATGATCCATCCGTATACAAACAACGGCAAACGATGCGGTTAGTGTGTTCTGAAGCCTCGGCGGCTGTGGAGAGGCAGTTGAGCGGGAGGAACATGAACTCCGTCTACCTCCCCGGTCGGAACCAGAGAATACACTACGACAACGAAGAAGATGTGCTGCTGTTGCGTTTCGGAGACGGCGGTGCCCTCACGGATCTCAGCCACGGGGTTTTGTCTGGCGAATATGAGGCGTCGGGAGTGAACAACTTGACCGAGGTGCTTGAAGGGCCGTGGAGCGCCGAGATAGCGGAGACGTTACGTGATGCGCGACTCATCGCTTTGGATATCGCGGAGACGTGGACGCCGGCAACAGTTGGGGCGGTGGTGTTTGAAGAGGTGGCGTACCTGGCATGTTGTATACAACGGGGACTCCGAGTGCTGTACTTGGTCGATCACTGTCACGGCCGATGTACTCGATGCAAGAAACAGGATATCACGAGATCTCAGCTCCAGACCCGCGGCGAACTATATTATCAGCTTCACAGTCGAGACAGAGATGCGGCTATATCACGGGTGGCGGACGTAATCCATGGCGTGGGAAAGACGTATCGGGAGGTGTTTAATTTGGAGGGCATGGGTTGGTCGGACGAGCACCCGATCTACGTGTTTGCGAGGGTTATGGACGAGATGATCAGGAGCCAGCAGGCAGACGCTGCTACGCAGGATTTCGAGGGAATCAGGGTGCTACTGGTGGAAGACGACGAGTTGGAGGGCGTGGACAACACGACGGTAATGGACTGTTATCTGGATAGCCGTTCAGAGGTCGCCAATGAGGGCGTGGACATGAGCCTGCGATAGTCGAGCTAGCGACGCGGGTGAGAACAAGAGACCTTCTCGGCGTAAGAAGAGCGAGATAAGCTGACTGACGAAAAGGTGCTTATTCCAGCTGGACCAAGTGGTTGGGTCGAATCGGCTGACGTGGGGCAACGAGGAGATGATTTCGTCGAAACGACATATGTCGAAACTACTGGGAGGGTGCGAGCTAGGGAGAGAGACCTTGTATTACTATAATCTCTGGAAGAAGAGACGTTATTGACAACAATATGGCCGCCGTAAACATTGACAAAACGTGCTGAAGCCCACCAGTTTTTCTCTACTGGGAATACCTTTTGACGCCATACTATGCATATACCACGCAAGCTCAAAACCACACATACACGTATAATTACCTCGCTAGAAACTGTGAATTGGTTAGCAACAGGGCTTAGAACATGGAATGATGATGATGGACAAGGCCAGACTTACCGTATCTCATAGGAACCCGCTCTCGTCATGTACCGCACCCACTTGACGCTCGAATAGTTGCTCTTCTCGAACACCTTGAGGTACCTAACCAAGAGGCCTGAACTGGTAAACATCAACAAGCTAAAGTTGAGGCTCAGGGGCGGCCGCGACCAGGCGCGCTGATTCGTCATGCTCGTCAGGATGGCCTCGGCACTCAAGACAAACTCGCTCTGTCCCGTAAACCGCCCAATCTTCCACACAATGTTGTTCTCGCTGGGCTCGTACTTGGCCTTGCCCTGGGTGCATCGTTCCGTGATCTTAGCAGTGTTGAGCGGTGTAGGGATGCGGACAACGACGTTGGTGGCGAAGAGCTTTGCGCCAAAATTCGCCTTGATGCCGATGCTGTATTCGACCTTTGTGCGTCCGACCTCGTTGACGATGGCGTGGATCTTGAAGGGGAGGTTGACGTTCTCGGTGGCGCGGTAGCGCATGAGCTCGAACTCGCCATCGGGCGGGACGAAGGAGATGATGCGGTCGCTGTCGAACTTGCCCAACTTGACGCACTGGTGGAATTGACAGTCTTCGAGGGTGACACTGCCGGCGGCGGCCTTGGTGGCCTTTGTTCCCATCCTGTTTCCACTCGGTAGACTAAGGAGCCCGTCGTTATCGAGAAGTAGCCGGTCGTTAAGGCCGAACTTGCACTCTGGGGTACCGGAGAGGTAGGCGCGCATGACGATTTGACCCGTGACGTCGGCGCGGAGGACTGCTCCCGTGGCGGACATGAGAAGGTTGACGTCTTCGATCACGTCAACGAACGCCTCGTTCTTTCTGTACTTAACATCTGCCTTGCGCCACGAGAGCGCGCCTGTCGCCTGCATTGTAATCTTAGCCGAGTCCTCGGCGGCTCGTTCTGACTTGACGCCTTCGGTCGTGATGTACATCTTGAGGGTGTCGGTCTCGGTGTTTTGAGGGTAGCCAAAGTCAATGATCTCTGCAAGGCGAACGTTAGAAGGGGAACACTAGTAACACAGTCCATTGAGCCGGTGTGATGTGGCACGTACCGTCGAGCAGCTCATAGACAAGCACGAAGTTGTTCTTGACAGCCTCCTCATCAAACTTGCCAAAGTAGCCCCGTCCCAACGCAATTAAGCGATAGAGGAACTCAAAGACCAGCGCAGCATTCGCATTGCTCTTGGTAATAGCAACCAGGTAAATGTTCTCATGCTTTACGTGGCTGAAGGTGGTGCTTCCAAGGGTCAAGATGGGGGACCGGACTTGCGAGTTCGAGATCACTTGAATCCGGAAGACGTCGGCAAGTCTGGGCCTGCAATCGTTGCGAAAGGCGCGGAAGATGAGGTTCTCGCCCTTTTGGTTGAAGATGAGGATTCCAGACAACATCGTGGCGGGTCAGGGGGTGAGGGCGCACGCGAGGGGAGCGACCACTGGGGATTGACGAGCGGACGGAGAGACGGGAGGGCGCGTTGTGGTGAACAGTAGTAGAGCTGGTGGGATGGGTTTGTTGGTGATTCTCGAAGCACAGGATCGCGGGCGGGACACGGCGGGGACAACGGCGGGAACTGGCTCGGTCAGCCGTCAGGGGAGCTTCCACTTTGCGACTTGGTCGAGGGGGACGGTTTCGGGACCGGCGGGAAATTCTGCCAGGCCCCAAAAGGGTCCGGGCGGTGAACCTCGCGGTGGACCGGCGCTCCGTGCGGTGTGGGGCACAATGGTCCATGCTTCTTTTCTTAGGTAAGCTCCCTGGAATCGCCTTACGTGATCCACTCACGTGCGGACTCCCGTCTTGGCGTGTAACGGTCGGTACCTAGATACCTTGTCTTATGTAAGCACGGTGGTCTGGACAGTGCCAATACATTTTCACACCTCCGCCCCGGTCGTCTTCCTCCTCTTACACACCCACCGTCACCACCACAACCACCATCACGAGTCTCCGCTCCCCAAGACAACAACGTACGACCCTTATTCGTAACCGCATGCCTCTCTGATCTTCCGGACTGTTCTACGGATGGACTGCGATGTTGAGCACGGGACTGTGCGTCCGAAAGATGCGCGTCGGTACCATGAACCCTTGGCATCTCACCACCAAGAGAAGAATCTGCCTCGACATGCTCTTGTCACCACCCACCAACTGTATTCATAGCTGATAGTACACGGCTCTCGGTTGTTCATCTCTCCTCGCGTCAATGCTATTGATATCAGCGGCTTGCAATGTTATGTATACTCTCAAGCAAAGCCTCTTACACCGGCCACCAATTGCCACCGTGGTCATGACATGAGGTTGCTGGACGTCCAAATCTCGACGAAACGTCAATTTGGATCGTTCCCGCAGGCGTGGGAACCCAAGATTGAGGGCCGATGGTTATTAGGTAGGCAATCAGTATTGATTGCTTCCGCTCTTGACACTCATTAACCTCATTAACACCAGACAGGTCCGAGTACCACAGCACCACCATCGACGCGGTTCACCACCACACAAACCCCAATTTCTCCAACTCGCTTGTCGTCCCTTGCGTCTTGCGTCTTGCTTTTTGCCCTCTTGAGTGCGGCTCCGACTAATCGCCACGATTATTCCTCTCTTCGCTGACGGTACCTGTCTCTGTACCTGGAGCCAAGCTACTTTCGCTTCGGCTTTCGATCCGCCAACCTCGCATCCCGTGACTGGTTACCTCTGTCTTTAACCTACGCTTTCCGACACGTTCGCGATGCACTTCTCCGTCTTTAAATTAAATGGCATAGGCACGCCACTGCTACTCAGCGTTATCTCGGGCAACGAAGCCGCCTTTCCAATCGAGAGTTTGCTGGATTGCAACTTGACCGGAACGATTTAAAGAGCTTCCCGACCCCTCATGGCACCCTCTTCAACGGTCCCCACATCCATCACGCCCCCATGACCAACGCGCTCTTCCCTTCGTGGCTAATATGGAGCGTCGCCTCCGAGATGACTTACACTCCGTTACATCCAATACGCAGTTTGCCCACACCTTGGCTGGCGGACTTTTACTCCTTGACGCCATGGAATATCGATGGTGGCCGTAGTTTGCTGCAACCGCAAGCAATTCATGGCTCCATGCCCAGCTTTAGGGACCTGGTCCAGCATGCCGTCAACCAGGCGATTCCATGGTTCAAGACCTGTCCTTCGGATGTCTCTTCCATATCCCCATAGACCCATGGTAACGATGGCTCCCTCGGCTTGGTCTGCTCTCTTGACGCTTTTCTCAATGGAGTAATCAAGCTCAAGATGCCGCTGCTTCACTCCGCGATCGTGGGGCAATGCCTCTCTCCCGCCGGCAGCCCAGAATAGGCCCAGCACACATCCATCCCGCCGTTCCGAAAGGCCAAGCGGTGTGTTCAAGAGATCCGAGTCCTCAACTCAGGTTGGCAACATGATAAAAGGACCATGTCCCAGGTCGTTCATCATCAGCTCCAGACTTGCAACCCACGGACATCATCCTCTCCAGAGTCAAGTCAATATCCCACAACAGAAGCAACCATGGCTGCTCGTGCGTTCCTCACTGCTGCCCTCTTGGGCACTGTAGCTCTTGCCGTTCCCATCGAGGAGAGGCAATCTTGCGGAGCCGTCTGGTAAGTAGGATATGCAGCTTGAACGAGGAAAGAATCTGATTGGTGACCAGGGCACAATGCGGCGGCCAAGGCTTCACCGGCCCAACGTGCTGTGCTTCTGGCAGCACTTGCGTCGTCAACAACGCTTATTACAGCCAGTGCTTGCCCGGCAGCGCCTCGTCCGCCAGCTCTGCTGCCGCTTCATCGACTGTTCGCTCTAGCTCTTCCGCAGTCGTTAGCCCTTCGCGAACCTCGACAACCGCCGGGGCCGGTACCACTACCACGCAGGCCGGAACTGCCACCACTAGCGCTCCCGCGGTCACCGGTGGTGCGACCTACACGGGCAACCCCTTTGCGGGAGTCAACCTCTGGGCCAACTCATACTATGCCTCCGAGATTACGACTTTGGCTATCCCGTCACTGAGCCCTGCTTTGCAGACGGCGGCTGCCGCCGTTGCCAAGGTCCCTACCTTCATGTGGATGTAAGTTATCTATGCTACGTACGTCGGTGTTGAAGGCCTCCTTTTGCTGACACCATCAAGGGACACTCGTGCCAAGATTCCCTTGGTTGACTCCACGCTGGCCGATATTCGCAAGGCCAACGCCGCTGGCGGCAACTACGCCGGCCAGTTCGTCGTCTACGATCTTCCCGACCGCGACTGCGCTGCTGCCGCCTCCAACGGCGAATACGCCATCGCTGACGGTGGTGTTGCCAAGTACAAGGAGTACATCGACGCCATACGCACTATGATTCTCAAGTACTCTGACATTCGCATTCTCCTGGTGATCGGTATGTGTCTTGTCTCGCACCCACCAAAATCTGCGTTTCCTAACTTTCTCGTCCAGAGCCTGATTCCCTGGCAAACTTGGTCACCAACCTCAACGTTGCCAAGTGCTCCGGTGCCCAGGCCGCCTACCTCGAGTGCACCAACTATGCCGTCACTCAGCTCAACCTGCCCAATGTCGCCATGTACCTTGATGGCGGCCACGCGGGTTGGTTAGGAGTAAGTTTTCACCGCGCCACGCTCCATACATGTTCTACTGATCTAATATACTTCTCCAGTGGGCTGCAAACTTGGGACCCGCCGCGAACATGTACGCAAAGGTCTACAAAGATGCCGGCAGCCCCAAGGCTCTCCGTGGAATCGTGACCAACGTGGCCAACTACAACGCATGGAGCGTTAGCTCCCCGCCTTCCTACACCTCAGGTAAGTCGTACCTATCCAGATTTCTAACGTTTCCGTATCTGACTGGCCTAGGCAACTCCAACTATGACGAGAAGCACTACGTCGAGGCTCTCCAGCCCCTTCTCGCGGCTCAGGGATGGGACGCTCACTTCATCGTTGACCAAGGCCGCTCTGGTAAGCAGCCCACTGGCCAGTTGGCTTGGGGTGACTGGTGCAATGCCATCGGCACCGGTTTTGGTCTCCGTCCCTCCACCAACACAGGCTCATCTCTTGTTGATTCTTTTGTCTGGGTGAAGCCTGGTGGTGAGAGTGACGGCACTTCCCTCACTACCGCCACTCGCTACGACTACAACTGCGGCAAGGAGGACGCTCTGAAGCCCGCTCCTGAGGCCGGAACTTGGTTCCAGGCCTACTTCGAGCAGCTCCTCGTAAACGCTAACCCTGCCTTCTAAGTGCTGTTCCAATTTCTTCTACAAATATGGCCCTGGGCTGCAGACGTCGCGTTCTATTTATCTTCGTGTATATATTTCACCTACTTAGAAGATGAATCTTTTATAAACTGTCGAACCCACTTGGCTCTCCTGCTCCGTGCTGCTCGGGTAGTCCGTCTTCAACCCGGAAGGACTATGCTTGCTGTGTGGGTCAACCACCGATCATAGAGAGGAAAGCATCGGAGCGCCGTGCCGGTGTCTTTTGGTCCGTCTAGGTCCCGAGATCTAGGACTGAACCCTGGGTACCTGAACTGGTACAAACTCGGTTGGCCTGATCGGAAAGACGCCGCTATAAAAAGCTCGCCCCTCAGCGCTTCCCCTCCCTTCTCTTTTCTTATGGTTCTTTCATGATAGCTCGATGCATCCGATTTCCTCTCAAATCACCCCCAACGTTCGATTACGCAGGCCGCCAAGTCTATATAGATGTGGATAGCCCTTCTCTTGGCCCTCCTCTTTACACTTACACTTATTTGGATGTTTTATCGCATTCCTTGGCCTCTCAAGGCCCCCCGCAAGCGACACAAGGAGAAGAAATCTGCAACGAAGGGAGGCATACCGGTAGCCCTCCCATCGGGTTCCGATGCAGAAGCCAAGACACAGGGGTTGTTCGCCGTATGAATTCCAAAAACCTTCTCGCTATATCTTCTGGATGTTCTATTCTGACTCGTTATCTGCGCAAAGAAACAGGATACGATTCTTGGCGGCCAAGAAGCCCAGCAACCCAGAGATACTAGCCTCCCAGAAGCGAGCAGCACAAACGAAGCCGATAATTCGGCCCCATCTTCCGGGGTCGCTAAGCACTCGATACGGTCTAAAATCCTAATGACAATCAAGACAAAGTTGAAAGGAAAGGGGAAGAGCAGTGGAGTGCCCTTGGATCCTCGATCCCCTCCCTTTCAACCCTTTACCTCTAGCGCAGGCATGAGGCCTTCGTGGCTAGATCCAGGAGAGGATACAAAGTTGGCAGATAGTGACCCTTACTCTGCCCGTTTACCGGTCATGACAGTAGATGGGACCGCCGTCTCGGGCTCTTCAACGCGACAAAGGTGGCAAGCCCCACAATTCAATATAAATAACGAATTGCCAACTCAATGGGTGACACCTCGACCTTTCGATCCTACTGCTGTCCAGCCATATCGGCCCACGCCAGAGGGCCCCGCGGAGGCGTTTGCTTACAACCACGGCACCGCCCCGGACAGGCTTCGAAAGCCATTATCAACACCCCTATTCTCGCCCTGCGTACCCCCATCTTTGCTCAGACCTTCCGACAACAACCAGCCAAACCTCTCGATAATCCAGGAATTCTCGTCTCCTAATCCGTCGTGCCAGGAAGAAGAAGAAGTGCTTCGACGCTTCATTAGGTTTGCAACGGGCCGTAGGTGTCCAAGATGCAAGCGTGGCGTCGCAATTGAGAGCAGCACCATCTTCCAACATGCCAGTGTCATTCTTCTAGGTCGAAAGACTATCGAATTGGGTAGCCATTATGGTAGATGCTCTTGTGGGATCTCATACTGTTTCGGCTGCTCCCGAATCGGAGATAATCTAAGGACGCCATTCGCCGGTTCCAAGTCGACCAAATGGTGCTGCCCCCCCTGGTCGACTTTTCCACATCTTTGCTCTCCTGTGCGGCCCGACCGCCCACGCTGCAAACCCGCGGGTCTCTATCTTTCAAGACTCCCAAGTGGACTCGATCGAGAAGCCCCCCAAAACCGAGAAAAAGTCCGGGTCGAGATTCAAGAGCTACTTCAAGACCAGCGATGACCAAGGCACATCTAAAGGAACGGGCTACGCAACGGGTAAGCTCGACAGAAAGAAAGAGAAGCCCGATGAACTCGCCTGTATTCGCCGCGAAGACCTTGAGAACAGCATGTTCCGGTTACCCAGGCTTTTCGCCGCGCTTTCGATAGCATGGCCTTCAACTTCCAACTACACTCAGTTTGATCGAAATCCTCCACCGTTGTTAATGGTCATGGCTCGCCGAAGCCCGCTGATGATCAGGATGGCAGAGCTTCTTCGGAATGATAACATGCAAGAGATTATGCGGCAACGAGTTCCATACCAAGCCCTCTTCGATTTCCTTCACGTGCTCTCAGCACACCCTGCTACAACCCCGCTAGTCTGTGATGTTCGAATCAGCTATCCTCTCGCCCGCACTCTACTCCCGGTCTGCTTCGGATATGGCCCTCTTCCAGTTTTAGACAGGTCGTCTAGCTCCAGTGACGATGGAAAGGGGAAGGGGAAAGCGGTGGAGCTTGAAGAGAAGCAGGACCAGCCTCAAGAAACGCTCAAGTCGTTAGTGAGTCTACTTTCTGCCTTGAGAGTCCAGGCGGAATCGGTGAAGCGACTCTACAAACCCAGCCCCGGGGATCTCTCCCAGACGATAGTCATGTGCGACCGTATTTGCGAGATCTCCCAACAACTCGAAGGAGAAACCCTCAAGAAAGACAAGAGGGAAGTGACTATTGACGAAGGAAGCAACCCTCCCTCTCTGACTTACTCACAATCGACCGTTTCGTCAGTGGCAGAATCACCCACCATTCCCGATGACAAGGAGGAGAGACTCACAGCTGCCCGGCAATGGCTCATCGAGAACAAGGTGCGGGAGATGGATTCCGAAAGATGGCAAAGTGACTTCAAGATTCCCATCCCAGACTCGGAGGCCACCGCCCACAGCCGTATGAAGAAGCTCGTGATGGAGCTCTCCATGCTGCGTACCACGCTCCCCGACGGCATCTTTGTTCGCCACGACGACACGCGGTTGGACGCCATGAAGGTCCTCATCGTCGGACCGGAAGGTACGCCGTATGAGAATGGGCTCTTCGAGTTTGATCTGTTCTGCCCTCTCGATTACCCAGAGAGGCCACCTAAGATGGTCTTCAGAACAACGTACAGCCGTCGAAAGTTCAACCCGAACCTATATTCAAATGGCCAAGGTACGAAAGCCCCCTTTGATTTCTCACCAGCACTATATTTTCATGGACCATTGCTAACTCTTTGCCAACAGTCTGCTTCTCCCTCCTCGGCACCTGGACAGGCAGCGCCACCGAGAATTGGGACCCCAAGAAGTCCACCCTCCTCCAGCTCCTCGTCTCCATCCATGCCATGATCTTCAGCCCGGACCCGGTCTGGAACGAACCCAACCAGGCCTTCTCCCCGGCAGCCTCGCTAGTTTACAAGACGGAGATGCGCGCCGACACCCTCATCTACGCCATGAGCCACTGGCTCTATCTGCGCAAGAACACCCACCCGGCCGCCGAGTATAACCCGTGGTTCGAGGTCGTGGCCCGCCACTTTGAGGTAAATTGGCGACGGATCCTCGAGACGGCCGAGATCTGGGCCGCGGAGGACCCGGGAAGCCAGCGCAAGGCCGAGAATGAGGTGGGCATGATCATGAGGGAGAGACGCTCCAAAGAGAGGTTTCCCTGCGGGATCCGGACGCTAAAGGGGCACTTTGCCGAGTGGGCTACTTCCGAGGAGGAGCTGGCGCTCGTGAGGCTTGGTCCCGAGGATGATGGCCCGATCTATACACCCGTAGGAATGCCCTTGGAAAATAGGCTTGATCTAGACTTTGACATGTCTCCGCCCATGTCTCCGCCCATGTCTGACGCCGACAGCGAAGACGAGTCCGATGGAGAGTTTAATCTACCACCAGCGAATAGCACGCCCAATGTACCGCCACCCGTATCTCACCCTCAACCGGAGTTTCACCCTTTCCTACCTTGTATTCCATAACTCCCTCTATCGTCCGTGGTTTCGATTCGTATTTGACATGTTCTCAAAGTTGGTCACTTGGACATGGAGACGATTTGGTGGCAATTAAGAGATGTTAAGCGCTGGTTGGATTGTAATAGTAGGCAAAGTCAAGTTCGGAACTTACCAGGAACACAGGAAATTCGGTAAAGGAATCTGCCAAATACAGGCTCTTTATAGGCCATAGTATGTGCCCTGTTGAGCACCTTCAAATAACACAATATACCCTATACCACAGATCTGAAGTAGCGTGAATCAATGACCAGATATCCCCGACGAGCTGAGTGGTGTGTTATGGTGTTCTTCGTGTGAGAGTTGAAGCCTGGCTTAGCAAAGGAGGGGAGCAAACATGACAGTATAATCAACCTGTGTCGGTATCAAGATGCTCAATCACCACGTCAACCTGTGATTAAGCTTCGAGTCCCTGCCATGAAGCTCTCCAATGCATCTATGTATGCCGGCAGACCTCACAATTGCCCCGCGCAACCTGCAGCAAACCGCCGGAAAGCCGGGGGCGCGTCTACTGGGTAAATGCTACATGGTCCATGGTCCATGCGCAAGCTTGCTGCGGGAGTTTTGGACAACAAGCTTGACCATGATACACAAATTGATAGAGGGGGCATCGCGAACCGCTTTTTCGGCATTATCACCGCAGCCGCTCGAAAACCTTGACAGCGCTTTACTGACGATCAGCAGAGTATCAAACTCGGGCGAATCCTGGGACGTGCCATGGGGGAATGCTCGTATCGCTAGCTGACCGCCCTTCGTCACGACTCAGTTGGCTCGACCCGGCAGCTAGCGACGTGCGCCTCAGTGCGGGCGACCCAGTCCTGAAGATAACAAGGCGTAAATTCATCAGAATGATCAGATTGAGAGAGATTAGCTGGGGAGGAGTTGTGGGCACACAAGCGAAACTGTTTCGAACTGACAACAACCTTGTTGATGCCCACCAGACACGACACAACGTCGCAAGCAAACACGGCTGACGTGCGGCTGGAGATGTTGGCTGCAGGGGCCCATCGAGGGCACTAAACGTGTCCCCGAAGCGATGATACACCTCAAAGTGTGCCACTTGTCAAGGAGCTGATGGGTGCGATTGCTGTCTGTACAGGGGTCCGAGCTTGATCCTCGGTGATAAATCAATGTCGGGCCCAAAGAATCGTAGCTTGTTGTCGACTCTGATTACTCGCCGACGTTCGAATCCATCAGCATAATACGCAAAAGCTCCATCGTCTCTCGAAGCTGCTCACCGACCTGAGCGAGCTTCATTCCGAACAAGCCTTGACTGTAGATAGGGCCCCCAAGATTGTGTAACCAAACTGCGGGATACCACGTGGAGGAGGGACTCGGACCGTTTGAGTGGGTGGCCGTTTGTCCCGGCTTCCCAACGCGTACGGTGTACCGTGGTGATTGCTCCAGTCAAATATTTGGAGCAACTTGAAGCTCCAGCGATGCCATGACTCGAGTCTCTGGTGTCCGTTCTGGACCTGTTGGATAAGCCGCATGCATACAGCTTTCCGAGTCGAAAAACCACAAAGCTTCGTAGGGATATTCGGTATAAGCATGAAGTCTATATGGGAGTCATGGGACGGGATTGTCCGGAAACGATCTTGATTGGGACCAGCATGCTTAGTGAAACCCGACGATGGAAACCTTCACTCAACCAGGCCGGCCTGGCAGATTGTGATGTCCGAGAACGCTCTAAGGCCGAATGATTAGGGAGATGAGGAGTGATTGACAGGCTCCCAAAGGTCAATCCCATGGCCTGATTCATGAAAAGTCTGCTGGGTGACTGTCACGATTCATTGGAAACATATTTCGAAATGAAGCTTCAGAAAGACCAAGATACTGCAAAGTCAAATCCTCCACGGCAGGCAACAGTCGACAACGGCAGCGATATGGTTGGCCACATTGGTGATAGGAACGTGTCGTCCGTTGAGAACCCATGTGGTCCACGAGTTCCAGGTGAAGTTTAGCGGCCAGACAAGGGTGCGTCTGCCACGTGCGGTGCATGCAGCAGCAAGGTACAAGTCGATGGAGGACGGGGGATGAGGGGAAACAGCCATTGGCGTGTTTGGTCAGGCCAGAGTCGCATCGAAAGTGGTCTGAGAAGTTGAGTCTAGTGGTGATGATGGCGCGAGAAGGTGGCCAATATGAAAACGATACCTAGCCCATCCGAATCGCTGAGACGAGCCTCGTGTGCCTACATCTCAGACAATGATTGCCATTCCCGTGCAGTAGGCAGGTCGAGAAACACGAGGGGATCGATCATAGTATGATGGAACTGCCGGAGGTGGCTGGTCTCGCAAGATGCCGATCGACAGGATTCAAGTCTAACAAGCGTAATCGCCATTACTTGACCGTTTTCAATCATGCCTTGTGGTCATGGAGCTCGTCGGTCCCGAAGCCAAGCCATCATGAGCGCCATATCCAAGATGGAGACCCCGCTTGTGAGGAGCTAAGCTTGGTGCCCGAGGGCGCTGACGTTGGCGGCACTAATACGGTGTCACACAGTCGACGGAGCCGGGAGTACTGCTCAGTCTGTTTGTAGGTGTCCGTAATTATCCTCTGGACTTGCCGCCCCAAGGCGCGAGGGTGATGATATCCATGATAGGACTTTGACGGGGGTTCTCAGGGTTTTTGGGCCTGTCCAGGCCAAGAGGATCGGCATTGACTTCAAACACGAAAGTGGACGAGGGCGAGAAAGAACTTAGGTACGACTAGGCCGAATCGAAAAACAATCGCAACATCAAAAGCCACCGGCTGTTTGACAGTGGCCGAGACAGGACAGGCTGGCTGGTGGTTGGCTGAGCCTGCACGTACGGCCGGCGGTATCAGTCAGTGGGCGTCAGTTCGTACGATTCCGCCGGTAGCTCGAAGCCAAATTCTCGCAATTTAAAACCATGGTCCAACTTTTTGGTGAGAGAGAGCTGCTGCTTAGTTCTGTCACTAGACGGATGCGATGCCGATTTCGTGTCCCAAGGACTCTGGGCGTAGGTAGGCCATTCGCAGGCCCGACTTGAGGGGGAGGCCCGGACTCAATCGATGCAGTAAGTGACACGTGGAATTGGCGATGCGTTCCTGGACAAGTGCCTTTGAGGTGCCCAAGTACCTTATAATGGTGAGGTCGAGGGGGCAGCCGAGGCGGAGTCTGGAGAGTGCGGTATTGATTTGCCTGTCGTTGGTCTAATGGTTGTTCGGAGGGGCTCTCGGGCCCCTCGGAAAGCCATTCAAAAGGTTGGAACTAAAGGCTGCTTGCAACGCGAAAAGAGGTGTGACGGACGGACCGTAATTATTGCTATGTGAGTGCTCACGGTTGGACCGCGACTGTTAGACGCGTGGTGATCGGCTCGAGTGGGCAGCGTTTTGCCGTTTGGTTTCTCGTTCGAAATCGGTAATCACGATCCCTGTGCATCTGGCCCCTTTCCTCCCAGACTCGAGTTGATCATATTCGCCTGAGCGGCACCTCTAGCAAGCCTCCCTGTGCGCCAGTGTATTGTGGCTCCGTACCCCTGTGGGAATTCCACCCCTTCGTGGACGGTGGACAAGACTCGGCCGTTGGCCAGTAGGCTGCTTACAGGTTGAGGAGGCGAAGAAGATTGGCAAATCGGGTAGAGCGGTGGTTTGATAAAGAATGGGACGTGGTGAAGGTATGGTACCGGTAGAAGACTTGAAGGCGGCGGCGAGGGCGGCTGGTTTTGGCAAGCGAGTTGACTGCATTCTGTCAGTGTTTCTTTGATTGGCACACATGTTTCTTCAGCTGTTGGCCTGCAGGTCGACGCAAGCGGTCGAAAAGAGAAGACTGGTGGTCAAGTCAGACCGGTGGGCGGAGGCGACGACGATAACCCAAGGGCCAAGGCAAGGCGAGGCCAAGGATCCAGTCAATGGGCGATTTTTCTTCGGAATAATGCAGAGATTGAACAGGGGAAGCCTTGAACAGTCTGTGCCGTGCCGACGCCAGGTTGGCCCTGGAGGGAAGCGGGATGTTTCTGCATTGCATGGGATGTGGGATTGAGATTTCTCCCGATGCTGTCTGGTTGAAGTCAAGGTTTGTGGGCGAGATGGAAGAAACAAGAGATCCGACGTGAAAAGAAGGGACGGCAACCATTGCAGTACATCACTGTGTACCTACTTTGAAGTAAGTTAGGTACCACGGAGGCCACGGAGACGGGAGAGGAAAGTGCAGCGTATTTAGGTTGAACTTGGTGTGTCATGATGAGGGAAGGAACCTAGCCTAGGCCTGCCATGGTTTACCTCTCTCCCGGTCATGTCATTGTTCGCGTTGTATGAGTGAGAGTGAGACTGAGACTGAGCGTGAGATCAAGAATGAGACTCATAGTGAGCTGAGACGCGCCTCAACTGCTCTGCACCACACGAATAGTTTGAAAGGGTGCAGCGAGTTACCTCATCTACCGGTAGTCTTGTTACTCCTACCGGTATCCATACATTATTTTGCATTTCAATGCGTACGAACATCTGTTTTTTATCGAGGTCATCACTTTGTAGAATTAGAGGGCCGCCGCACCAAGCTATTCGCAGGCTCAACCTGGTTGACTGATTTCGGTACGCTGGAACATGATACTCTCATATGTGTTGTCTTATGCACAGCTCATGACCTCTGACTCTTCTGCGGCCCGTGTAAACATGATTCGGAAGATGCTATGAAGGGGGGCGCCCCGGAGAGCGTCTTGTCTTGCAGAGAGGCGTTGAATACCTAAATAGACCACGGGTATTATACCAATCTAGTAGATGAGTGCCGCAATGCAAGTATGAGCGAAGCTGCAGCGCATATTATGATGCGATGCGATGCGCTGTGATGTGATGCTCTCATGCCCAGCTACTGCGTATCTATATCGCAGAAAGACGTATCTGCCTGCATCTCTCTCGCAGACTCACAGTCGCGGTACACGTCTCACGTTGTTGATCGGGCAAAACGGCCATGAGAGACATGGATTGGCCCTGCTGTCAGGCTCACTCAACAC